ACCTCCGGCCTCTCTAGCAGAGCCCTGCGGGAGGGGGGGGTAGGGGGTACGGAGGGGCGGGGAGGGGAGAGAGCACCGGCCGCTGAGACCACTCCTCCACGGCCCGTGCCCGCCTGGCAACTATAAACTAGCCGATTCGTTGGCAAAACCACAGCCGGGTCCAATGAAGACACTGAGTACTTTCATTGAGGGCTCCTGGCACACTTCACGCGGCCTCTGCCTTCCCGGTATTTACACACACCTCCCTTCCCTCCCATCACGACGTGGAGGGCCTGAGATAAAGCTCTACATTTGTAGATATTAAGCGCTCACTACCATGCAAGTCATTGTGCCCACTCCCTAGATACTCAAGCTCATTAAAATCCTTGACCTTGATGAGTTGGCAACCCAGTACTATCACCCCATTTTAGACACAAGGAACTGAGGCACCAGAGCTTCTTTAACTTAAGATTACACATCATCAGGCCTCCCTGTTGGTGCAGGGGTTAAAGGCAGTGCTATCAAGCTATTAGCAGTGGCCTATTGTAGCATGAATTGGATCCCCGGCCAGGGAGCTGACCCATGTGGCACAGCAGACCTCTCCTGTCTTGCCCACTGCTCCCCTCAGCAGTGTATTTCGATAGATCCACCTGTTCTGTTCCCCACTCTGTCTCTGGTGAATCCTCTCACCCTCCCACCTCTGCACCTCTGGCCTACACCCCAGGCCATACACCCTTGTATGCATAAATAAATTTTAAAAAATTACACATCCCCCCTCCCAGCTCTTAATCACCACTGCACTGCACTGCATCCTCCAGGTTCCGGACAATTCAGGGTCACTTTCCCATGTGAGGATATGTAATTTCCAAGCACTAATAGGAGAAATTATTCCTGCATCTGGGTGTGTATGTGGGGGTGAATGGAGGACCCAAGCTCAGGGACTCACCTATGTGCTGAATGATCCGTTGACGGTGGGCTGAAAGAGCTCGTTCATGGCCTCACTAGTCATCCTGAGCATCCCCTGGGAGGACCACTTCACATAATTCACGCTGTAAGTGTAGGGGGGCAGAGGCCCAGGTGTCAGGGACCTACCCCTGCCTCCAGGGCTGCATATTGGGTGTGATCCCAGCCCCCCTGCAGGGGCCTGAGCCGCTGGCCTGCTTCAGTTCCAGGCGGGAGTCCCAAGGGAGAAGCCCTTTGTCTCCAGGCAGGAGCCAAGAGCATTGGTTGGCATAGTTGCATTGTGTGTGCGGGACAGAGAGGTGTTGGTCCTTCCCCAGGGGCCTGCCTGGGCTTCAGATTCCAGCCGCAGTGCTCATGGGCCTCCCCCTGCCATCGGCCTCCCCCTGCCATCGGGTCTGGCAGTGTGAGCCCAGAGGGGTGGTGGATGAGGTTGGGGATGGATCAGGTGAATAACCTCGACCCCTTGGGGCCCACTCCCTCCCTTGCAGAGGCATTCCCCATCAGCAAACTGGCACATGGAGGTCCCCAGCCCCACCTGCTCCTGCGCAGGGCCGTCTCCACGTTGTGGCCTCGCTGCTTGCGGTAGAAGTCGATGAAGGAGAAGGGCAGAGAGATGTTGAGCCCCCCCACGCGGTGTGGGGCTGCCGTGCGTTTGCGGGCCTCGAAGGCGATAGTCAGATCCACCCAGGCTGCTGGCCGTTGCCTCTTGAAAGTGGCAATGAAATCCTCCCCGAAGATGCGGCCCAGCAGCTGCTCGAAGGCCAGGTCCACCCCCACAGCACCATAGGGGCCACCTGGGTGGGAGGGTGCGAAGGGGGAAGTCAGCACCAAACCTGCGGCCAGGGGACGTCCACGAGGCCAGGGCACGCTGGTTACCCGCAGCCTTGCCCACTACTCACCAGATGCCTTGTAGAGTTCCTTGAGGGTGCCATGGGGCTGCTCCAGCTGGTGCACTGTCAGGTCCACTGTGCCTCCCCCACAGTCTGCCACCATGTAGCGGTCTCCTAGGCGGTGAGTGTGAGTACACCAGTTGCCTGCCTGGCACTTTCAGCCTGTGCCCCCTCAGACTCACCCAGCCTCCAGCCCTGCCCCAGGTCCCAGCTGCCTGCCTGCCAGGGTGTGGGGTGAGGCGCTTCAGGCTTCAGCCCAGGCCACTGGGTGAATGTGGGGGAAAATGGTTCCAGCGGGCTCTGCAATTCCCTCTGTGGAGAATCCCCAGGAGGAAAGGGCGGCAGGACATCGGCTACGAGTGAGTGGCAGCGCAGGTGACGGTGAAGGTACCGCTACATGCGGTGGGTGGAGGAGGGGACCAGTTTTCTAGGGGCTGGTACCGGTTTCAACATCCCCTTCCCCGGGATCAGTATACGGTGTCCCGCAAGGTCCAAGAAATATCCCTCCATCTCTGACTGCCCACCTGCTTGCATCTCTGCCCACAGCTCTCCGACACCTGACTCCACCAGGAATGTACGGCTGTGGCGGGACCTTCGCAGCTGTTCTCGCGCTGGGGGGCACAGCAGGACAATCAGGTTAGAAGGAGGTGCCTCAGCTACCACGTTCAACCCCCACCCCCTGCCAATGCCCTCTGTGAGCACCTGGAGTTGCCAGTGTTCCTGAAACTTCTGCTCCACTTCTAATTGGAGAGAGCAATGCTGAACCCCAAAGGCTCCAAAGAAACTATAGGAGGTAATCTCAGGTGCTAGAGGAGGTATTTCTGGCTCAGGTCAGGGCAAAATCAGGTCAGGAGGGTCTGGAGCTGTGTGTGTGTGTGTGTGTGTGTGTGTGTGTGTGTGTGTGTGTGTGTTTCTAGGGGGATCTGGCGGAGCTTGGGACTTGGCACTTCTCCCTGTTGTGGAGATGGCATCTGGATGGGTGACCGAAGTTGATCATAGCTGTTTCAGTGCCTGGACTGACTGAGGCAGGTGCTTAGGGCTGATTGAGGGGACAGCTGATGTGCCAGGAGGGGGGGGTCAGCTGATCCAGTGGCTGTTTAAGGAAAGTTCCTCAAGCTGCCACCTTGGGCTGAGTGGGGACTGACTCCCACCTTTGTCCATACCAAGCACCTCCACTTAGGCTGGGCTGTGTCTTCTGCTCTCCACTCCCACTCAGGGCTCCCCACCTCAGAGAGTGCTCCCTGGGGCAGGGTGACATCTCTGCCCTCAGTCTGGGTTCCCCCAGGTTAGGGGCTCCTCCCTCACACTGAACTCCACCAGGGATATTTCTGCCCTCTCAGATTGGGTTCCTGCAGGGTTAGGGGTGCTTGCCTTTATGCTGGGTGTAGCTAAGCCGGTGACCTCAGTGACACTTTGACCTTCCAGGGTAACTGCCTCCAAGCCCAACAGTGGGCACCCCCGGGGGTGGCTCACCCTGGCGGAAGCTGGAGTCGATGGAGCGACGCTCACCCAGGCGCCCGTGACCCGGGGCCCGGGTGCTCAAGTCCAGGAGCTGGTGCAGGCGCAGCTTTCGGCAGTAGACAGAGGCAGCCTCGGGCTCCAGGGCGATGAGTAGTTGCTCTGCATCTTCTCTTGACACCAGGCCAGCCTGAAGATGGCGGGCAGGACCAGGGGGCAGCATGAGCTATCACACCTAAGAGGGCACCCAAGGGCAGGGATCCGGGGCCTGTGGGGCTCCTACCTCCTCCCCAAAACACCCCACCGTGCAAAGCCTCCTAGGCCCCTCTATGCTACACAAATTTGAAGCTGCTTCAGCCACCCTGTGACCAGGTACACAGTCATGGCCAGGGACACCATAAGTTGCCCAGGAGGAAGAGACTTCAGAGTGAAAACCTAGAGTGTCTGGGATCTGCCCTCCTGAGCTGCCCAAGGGGCTACAGCAAGGTCCCCTTCATGGGTTTGGGGCTGCCAGCTGAGCACTGGCTGGAACTTCAGTGCTGCACACGCGTGTGCATGTGTGTGCGTGTGTAATAGCTAGGCCACTAATCAGAGGAGAGATGCCGGATCCCCTCTGCCTTACTGAACCCTCTTCCTCCACCAGACAGGTGTCAGACAGTGGCCACAGACTTCCCCTCACAGGAGAACTCTGTTGCAGGGAATGTGATATCCAAGGAAGGAAATGTATCAGTAAAATTCCAGGCACCAAGACAGGCCAGTTGGGGGAGAAAAACTCTTGGGAGCTGTTAACTTCCTGCATCAGGATAGGGGATCCACATGGGAAATACTACATGGTTTCGTGGGATTCCCCAGATTCTGACCAGATGGGGGATGGGGAGGGGATGGGCATGGAGACTTCCTGCCCAGGGCCAGCCCTTCCTGAGCTGGCAGCCAGGGAACAGCGTGGGAGGAAGTTGAGTGGGTAAACTGGCAGGGGGCACTAGGGGGCAGTACTGTTTGTTCTGACTGGGTCCGCTTTCATCCTGGTCTCTGCAGGGGAGTTGCCCACTCTGTTCAGGATTAGCTCCTTCCAGTGACAAGTGAAGGGACTGGGGCATGCCTGGCTCACAGGTGTATGTGTGTGTGGGGGGCCCTGATGTCCTCCCACAGGGCCCAGAGATCCCTTGTGGAGGTCCTAGGGTCTTCCCAAAGGCCCCAGGGGCAAGGCCAAACAATGAGTTTTTCTCTGGTAGTCTGCATCCACCACCCAGCCCCTGTCCATCTCCACTGGAGAGGGAGGTGCCCGTGATGCCCACTCCTTTCTCTAGACCTTTAGGCATCTCTAATGACAGGAAGATCAACAAACACTGTCCAAAATCACCCCCTTTCATAGTCTTATTTTTCTGCTCAAAAACCTACAGTGGTTGGGGCCATTGTGGTGGTGGGTTCTGGAAAATACTGATACCAGCTGAAGTGGTGTTTTGGTGCCCTGCCCAGCTATTGTGAGTGTTGGCTGCTACAGGCTCACAGCCTCCTCCTTTGCAGAAGTGCCCTCAGCTGAGTAGTGACTGCCCCACTTGCTGAGCGGCCCTCCCTGCCAGCAGTCATTGACAGACTGATACAGATGCACAAAAGGCCTGCCGCTTACCCCATCCTGCCAACTCCGGGGTACAATTCTCCCCCCAGAGCTCTCCATGAGATCAGGCGGAGGCTAGAGTCCAGCTGAGACCACATCCCCTTAGCTCTTTCTCTTGTCCTGCTTCCCACACTCCCCTTTCTCCTAATAGCCCTTCTTCAATCCACCACAAGCACAGGAATACAGATCCTAGGCTCTGCTTCTAGAAAACTTGACTTAGGACACTGCTAAGCTGGCCAAGGCTCGACCTCTTGTCCTCTGTCCTCTTCCTGCAGGTTCTACAACCCCCCAAAATGCCCAGCAGGGGAAGGCCCGAGGCCTTCACACAGTGGCTCTGTGGTCCCAAGGGTGATGGGGTGAATGAAGGCATGGGTCTCCCCCTGTGCCTTCCAGAGCCACACCCGCTGCTCTGGCTGCCCATACTCACCAGGTAGGCAGCCTCCCGCATGAACTGCTTGGCCGGCTGTTTCCAGATGGCAGGCACCGTCAGCACCCAGCGCACAGCGTCCTTCCCCGGCAGCGATGGGCACTGCTCTCTCAGCTCCTGGGGCAGGAATGGGTGATGTGGGGAACAACTAGTTTGGGATGGGGGGGTGCCTTCAGCTCCATGGGAGCTGGAGGAACTAATCAAGTCTCAGGAAGGATTTCCCAACTGAGTTGAAAGAATCTGTGATTGCCCCCCTTTTTGCCCCCCAGTATACCATGTATGTCTTGGTGCAGGCCCTTCCAGATAGGAAGGGAAGGGACTGGGGCAGGTGACCTTTGACTTCTGACCATGGCTACCCATAGAATGAAAGGAGGTGGGATGAGAAGGTGGGTGGAGCAGAAAGGAGAGAGTATGGGGCGTCCCCCAGAAGGTAGGGATGGGCCACAGCGCACCTGAAGGGCGTGCTCCTTGAAGAAGTGCAGGGCATGGGCGAATATCTCCAGGGCAGGCATTTTCTTTCCATTTACAGCCTCTAGCTGGGTCTTCAAGGTGAGATCCTGGCAGGGACACAGGGCTGCTCTGCAGGAGGCCACAGCATTGCCCCCACGTCTTTCATAAAAGCACCTCATTTCTTGGTGTTTGAGCAACGCTCCATTGTATCAGTTCGGCTCCCAGCACCAGCCACCCCCTCCAGCCCCAACCCTTCGTAGCTCCGCCCCCGCCCCTGCGAGCTCCGCCCACAACCGGGGCAATCTCTCCTTTAGCCCCGCCCAGGCCCCGCCCAGGCCCCGCCCCGCCTACCTTCTCGTTTCCCACCCTCCTTTAGCCCCGCCCCCGCCCCGGTCCCGCCCAGCCGGCTGGAGCCCGCATGGGGCTTACAGTGGCGCTGTGAATCTTCATCTTGAACTTCTCGAAGTAGAGCCAGTCGCGTGCCTCCTCAGGGTCCAGATCGTGGTAGTAATCCCGGGCCGTGTAGCCAAAGCTGTGAAAGGCACCCTCCGGCGTCAGCAGCAAGCAGGTAGGGGTCTTCTGGTGGGCTACACCTGGGTCCCCGCCCTCCCATTTCCTGCGGGGACACAGTGCTGTCAGTGCGGTCAGCTGCACCCCTCGCCCCGTGGGGCTGGCCCTGCAGCTGGGACCAGCTGGCTCTGTGACCTTGTGCAGACCACTTAGCTTCCCAGCTTCTTCTTCCCGCCTGTAAAATGGAAGGAGTAATAGCACCTACCTCTAAGGGCTGTCGTGAAGATGGTGCTTGGTATCCACGTAAGTCTCCAGCAATGCTGCTCATGGGATCTTCCCCATCCATGGGGCCCCTGACATCCTCAGAACTACTGCCCTCCCGTGAGGTCACCAACCTTACCTCTCTGCACCCATAAAAGCAGCAGCAAGCCATCATCCATCTGCCTGGTCCAGTCTCCTGGTGTGTTTCTCCAGGACCCTAGCAGAGGCCTTTTTCCAGGCAGCCAAGCTCCTTTCAAGGCTTTTCAAGACCATTCCTATCTGATCCACCTTGGCACTACACCCCAGTTGACTACATTTCAGGCAGGGTCCCAAAACCTAAATGAGATTTCAAACTTCCCAATTCCAAAGGCACCATTGGAATCTCCTCCACCATCGGAATCTTCTACTTAGAACCCCTGCCCAGTTCATTAGCTTGGCATATCCTTCCCTTCCTCTGCCTTCTCTGATACCCTAACCCCTCTAGGCCAAGTTCACCACTACAGCCTTTTGGGGAAGAAGCTGAGAATCCGGCAGCAGGAACAGCATGTGCAAAGGCTCAGAGGTATGAAAGAGCAAGTAGAAGAGCCATTGGTTGGCTCCATATGCAGCAGGAGAAAACACAGTAATGTGAATGTTAGGTAAGGAAGAGCATCACCTGCCATATCAGAATTCTATCTTGTTGCATTTTAAATCAGAGAGTGAAGAGGTAGGACCACAATTGCTTTTAGAAAGATCACTAGTCCCCAGGTAGCAAAAGACTGGAGGCGAGGGAGGATGGAGAAGGAAAACCCGGGAGGAGCACATTGCAGCCATCTGGGGTGCAATGAGGGGGGCTGAACATCGGGGTGGTGGCCGTGGGGAGGGGTGGACGGATATTCCACAGATATTACGGAGACACAGAAATGACAGGGCTTGGTGGCTGGTAGGGGCTGACAGGGAGGGCTTGGGAAAAGGCCAGGATGTTCCTCAGTACTTCCTGTGATTACCACCTCCCCAGGTAGAGACAGTGTCCCTTTATGTGTCCTCGGCCCGAGCATGGGCCCAGCATGGCCTCAGCAGTATGCGCAGAGGAGTGTACTAGCTGGGATGCCCTGTAGCTCTGAGGGGGCCAGTGGTGCCCAGAGCCTTTGTGGCCTCATGCAGGGAAGAGAGTAAGGAGAGGATGGTCCAGGCTCACACAGGTCAAGTCCCTTCTAGCTTTGGGTCACTTAACTTCTGTGTGTCCCCCCAGCCATCGGGAAGCCGTTCTGACTACCCAAGCTAGAGACAGGGTTGGAGCTGTGTGTGGGGGGGGGGGGGGGGGGGGGGGGCGGGAGGGCGCAGGGCGGGGGTGTCTTCTATAGCGCCACCTACAGGCCACAGCCACACTAAACTACTTTCAAGAGATCAGGGTTTGCGGTCTGGAGGGGAGTGTCAAATATTTTGTTTAAACAAAACTTGGGGACATCAGAATGGATTTTTTTAACATCTGTCTGTGTGGCTTGTCAACTCAGTTAACCCTCTGATGCTTCATTCCCTTGTTTTTCATTTGAGATGGTGGACTTAGGAATCTGCCTCTAGGAATCTACCCCATAGAAATGCCAGCACAAGTACTCAAAGAAGGACATTCCTGCAGTGTGTTGTGTAACAGTGAAAAATCAGAGGAAAAAGAAAACTCTCAAACTATCAATAGCACAATGGATGCATTAGGACATCTATACTGTGGAATAATACTATGCAACAATTAAAAGAAAGTGGTGGCTCTCTATGTATTGACATGGCAATCTATAAAACAGTGTTGAAAGTTTAAAATAAGGCAAGAGGGGGCCTCCCCTGGTGGTGCAGCGGTTAAACGCTGGGCTGCGGGCAGCCTCGCAGCGCCGGTTCATTCCCTGGCCGCCGGCGAGGGTCCCACAAAAAAAAATAATAAATAAGGCAAGTTATATGATATCATATATATGCGCACGTACGTGTGTATATGTATAATATATCCCAGAAAAAGACTTCTGTATGTTCCTATTATATTATATCTCAATAAAATAATTTAATTTTTGTTTTTTTTTTTTTTTTTTAAAGATTTTATTTATTCATTTATACAAGCACTGGGTACAGTCAGAAGCACGGGAGGGTGAGAGAATTCACCAGAGCCAGAGCAGGGAGCAGAGCAGGCAGAAGGACCGAAGTACACTGCTGAGGGGAGCAGCGGGCGGCAGGAGAGGTCTGCGCGCCATGTGGGACCCTCCTCCGGTGGCCGGGGAGCAGCCGGGGATCGAACTGGTGCTGCAGAGGCTGTAGGCAGCTTCGCAGCCCAGCGCTCAACCGCTGCACCACCTGGGAGGCCCTTGTTTTATTTTTTCAAGAAAAGGTTTTAAATTAAAAACAAAGCCCAACATTTCCGGGGGAGGACAGGGAGCTGCTCCCATTGAGGTGGGGCCCAGGTCCCTGACCCATCCTTTGACCTTCTGCCCCATCAGGGAGCCCTCCCGCCAGATAGAGGTAGGAGTCTTGGTCCATCTTAGGGAATGAGGACCGCCCCCACTGCCGGCCCCCAAACATACACACTCTCCCAGTGCAGACAGCCTCACCTCATCATGTGGATGGCCTCAGGGTCGCTGGCAAAGCTGAAGGCATAGCCACTGGATGTGGTACCAAAGTCGATGGCTACCACCACGGAGAAAGGAGCCTGCTGGGGGGTTCGGGCCTCAGGCTTCTGCAAGGGCAAGATCTATGGTCAGGGAACAGCTCGCAGGGCAGGCTGCGGGAGCCCCTTCTGCTGGCTGTGGCTCAGCCCAGTCCACCCCACGCGCTGGCTGTCTGCTAGGCTGCCCCCATCCCCTCTTAGGCTAAGCCTGGAGATGCCAACTGTTCAGAAGGCCCAAGGCCTCTTGGGTAGCCCCATGCAGGTTTTGGCTCCAGCTCCCGCTTTCCTGCTCCTGCTTCTCTACCTACCGTCTGCCTAGACTGCCTCCGCCCCACCCACAAATCACTCCAATCGACTGCCTAGCACCAGCCAGCGTCCAGCTGGGAGCAATTGTGCGTCTTTTGCAGCTTCCTAGCACATGGACCTGCGTATACTTGACCCTTTCACTCTCTGCGGTCAGTGACATAACCAGACCCTGTCTGGCTCTGTGGCAGAGCAGAGAGGCCCAGGCACAAGCCCACAGTGGCCCCTGCTTTCTCCAGGTCAGGCCTGGGATCCCTGAGAACAAGAGGGTCAGCAGGTTGGATCTCTCGGATGAAGTTCATCCTAGGTGGGGTCACCCAAGGCTATGTTTTGGGTATTTCAAACTTACAGTTTCCAATTTTTTTTTTTCTTTGGCAACACACCTCCTCTTCCACAGACAAATCTTATATTATGGGAGTCGACAGGAAGGGGAGCAACTCTGGAAAGTCCAGTGCTCCTAGAGCCTAGAAAAACTACTGGCTCAGCTGTACACTTGCCCCGGACAGGCCAGCTGCAATACTCCCTCCTGCCATCCTGGGGGAGGTTTCTGAGCATTGGTTACCTGAGCTCACCTCAGTAGAACTGTTACCTAGTTTGGGTGTTGGTTACCTCAACAGAACTGTCCTCCCTACTCTCCAGGGCCACCGACAGCTAACGCTTCCTGGGAAGCATGACCACAGGTGCAGGAGGAGGGGCATGGTGGTGCTCCTGCCCTGCCCAGGCCCTGCCAGGGGTCTGCCTGACAGCCGGCCTTGCTCTCTGGACCCACCACCACGTCACCCACAACTCTGATCCCTGCTCTGGGCTTACTGGAGATTGCGAAGGTGTGAGGGGGGCAATGCCACAGCTTTCCTGGGTCCTCGGGGAGCCGGGAGGGCTGGGTACTGGGGAGCGCTCTGGGCTGGAGCCTGGAAAGAGAGGACAAGTCACTCTGGCACAGCAGGGAGCTGGCGGCCAAGTCCCAGGTTGGCACTGGGAAGTTCCCCATCAACCCTTGCTCCATCAGGCAAGGGCACCCTGCTGGGGGGAGGGGCATGAGGGGAAAGAGAAGGAAGAGGGTGTTGGAAAGGGGTGGACTGAAGGTCAGTTGTCAGGAAGAGACAATCTATACCTGGAGGGTGACCCACGTCTCATCTGGGAACTCACGGTCTCGCCCCCAGCATCCCTCAGATACACTGGGGGAGGGGAGAGACAGAGAACCATTGTGGGGTGTGGGGGAGACTGAGTTCAGAGAAAGAAAAGCAGGAGAGATGGGGCCCGGTGAGTTCCTGGGGTGGGGGTGGGAGGCTGGAGAAACCAGAAAAGCTGGGGGAACCACAGCCTAACCTCATGGGAGGTGGGGCTGCTCCCCTCCCCTCTAAAATTCACTCACATGTTTTTTTTTTTTTAAAGAGGCATGTATTTTTATTTATTTATTTTAAAGATTTATTTATTTATACAAGCAGTGGGTACAGTCAGAAGTGCGGGAGGGTGAGAGAATTCACCAGAGCCAGAGCGGGGAGCAGAGCAGGCAGAAGGAACGAAGTACACTGCTGAGGGGAGCAGCGGGCGGCAGGAGAGGTCTACATGCCATGCGGGACCCTCCTCCGGTGGCCGGGGAGCAGCCGGGGATCGAACCGGTGCTGCAGAGGCTGCGGGCAGCTTCACAACCCAGCGCTCAACCGCTGCGCCACCGGGAGGCCCCACTCACATGTTTCTAATTAGGACCTGAGGGAGCTGACCCCTTCCCTCCTCCCAAGGGCCACAGACAGGCCCAGCTGGCTGTCTGGTAAGTATGGCGGGGAGAGAGGGCGGCACCTCCCCCAGCCCTGAGCAGAGGGGTGTCCACCACACTAGGAAACTGGATTCTGAGTTCCCCTCCCCCACAGCACACACACCTGGAGCCAACATTCGGGGGTCAGAGGCCCCCCTGATACCCTCTCTAGGCACAGGACTGAGCAGGATCATTGGCGGAAGAAAGCAGGACAGCCCCAGAAGGCAGCCCAGGCCCGGCTGGAGGCTCAGGCAGCTCAGGTATAGGCTGGGTTCCAGTGACCACCCTGGTTTTTGCCTCTGCAGATTTTACTGGGGCTGCCCTGAGATTCAGCAGGAGACAGAATGGGGGCCAGCGTGAAGATCCATGAATAAATTGAACAGACCAATGGTTTCAGGCTGAGCCAGAACCGGGTCTATCATCCTCAGTAGCTGCCTTGTCCTGTGGCCCTACACAGGTCTAGTCCCCCCAGGCCTGGGGGAACCCTGGAACATATGTGGGGATTGGGGCATTATGGGAGCTTTAGGAAGTGCTGGAGGAACAGGGGATGGTGGTCACATTCCCAGACAGCCAGTGCAGGCTTGGGCGCTGACTCCGGTTCCAGATTGAAGGGCCAAGCTGGTGTGGCTTGAGCCTGGGAAGGGAGGCAGGAAGGAAGGGCCCAGCCCGCCAGGTCTTTGTGAATGGACTTCCTGAGGAGTGTCCCTCCTGCCTCCTGGCCTCCCACCCCCGCAGAGAACCCAGAGCCTGCTCCCAGACCAGGCCACAGGCAGACACGCACACATGCGCACGCACACATGCACACACGCACACACACACACGCATGTGCACGTGTGCGCGTGCACACACACTCTCGTAGAGATCTCACCCACAGACAGACAACATGTACACAGAGGTTGTGCACACAGGGTCCTGTGCACACAGTCCCTCCCTGCACACCGATCACTTACACACACTCAGGAGGTTCTGTGAATGGCGGGGGGTGTCTTACCGATGTACAGTCCCTGCAGGCCCACCTCTGGGACAGCCAGCATCTTTGCAGGCCCTGCGGCTCTGAACGGGAACAGACAAGCAGAACAGCATTTATTTGTTCCTTTGTTCCCTCACTGAATGTTTATTTACTTACTTTTGGCTGGAGTCCTTTGAAGCAAATCCCAGACATTGTTGTTTCACCTATAAATTCTTCAGTCTGCCTCTCTAACACATAAAGCCTTAGAGAGCACTGCCAACACCGTCATCACGTTACCAGAACGAACCCTGATTCCTTCATCTCATCTAAGGTGCAAGTCCCACAGTCCCTGCCTGTCTCAAAGATATTTTTGTTTCATTGTTGTGTTGGAATCAGGGTGCTCCTACCTGTTTTCAGGTGCCCTCTCTGTGCCAAGTGCTCGGGGACACCCCCACCCAAAGAGACACTGTGCCTGACCAGGGACCCACAGCCAGGCAGGGTGCCCAGCAGCATCAGGGAGTCACACAGGTCAACTTGAGGTTACAAGTGGAGGTCTCGGCTGGGTACAGCTGGGCAGAAAGGGGAGCAGGGCGAGGCGGCCAAGGGGCCGGGGTGGGCTCACCCTCAGGGAGACCCTGGTGGTCTATTTTGGATTTGGATTTAAATGAAGGGCAACAGCAAGTCTTGAAAGGTTTGAAGTGGCAGAATGGGGGCGAGGATGTGGCTAAATTTACATTTTTGAAATTGCATTTTGAAAAGTCCCTCTGGCTGCATGGAGAGGGGATGCAGAGGGACAAGAGGGAAGCAGGAGGCTGTCAGGGCCCCAGGGACAGATGGTGGCGGCAGCTGTGTGCCTTGAGATCGAAGCGCAGACGTTAAAGAGACAGGTTAAAACCGACAGGGCTGATGTGCGGACTGGGTGTGGGGGGTTAGGGAGAAGATCTGAAGGTTTTGCCACTGGTTCACGCTGGGAGAAGGACAGTGCCACAGACAACACTGGAGGAGGGTGGGCAGGCGGAGGACGAGGGGGCAGAGCTCTGGTGCAGTTTCCAAGCTGTGGAGAGAATGTACCAGGGAGCCAGGTGATACGTGATCTAGAGGTCAGAGAGGGCTCCAAGGTGCAGCAATGCGCTGGGGGTCACTGTCAAGGATGGCTTGGCAGAGGGCAGAGTGGAGGAAGGGCCAGGAGGAGAGAGCTGACCCGAGGAAGGACACCGGGGCTCTGCTGTGATCCCATGAAGATCATGAGAGACGGACGTGAAGCTCGATGCCTGGGAGAGGTTGTTCTGTGAGACTGGAAACACCACATTTCAATGGAATGATGGTGATGGGAGTTGGGGAGGCTTAGGGGAGTTGGTGCAGAGGAGAGGACAGAGCTAGCACATCTGAGGAGGGTGCTGAGATGGGCAGCTGGTGGGCGGGCAGTAGCTGGAGGACTAGGAAGCTTGAGGGGGGCGAGGAGGGCTTTTGCTTTCTTTGCTAAGATGAGGGGAGCTTGAGCTTGTGTCTGTGAAGTTCTGGGGGCAGACTAGAGGCAGCTAGAGGGCAGCTTTGTCCTCAGGGTGGTCTCAAGATGACAGCGCTGGCATCCCCTGGGGGCCTGCTAGAAATGCAGACCTTCAGGTCCACGCTACTGTCCTTAGCTGTGGACCTTGGTGGCCCCCTAAACAACAGTGGGGCCTGCCCACAGCCCACTCCCTCTTGTGGCCAGTGACCCAGTCAGGAAGTTTTGTTAAAACACAGGCAGATAGAAATGGGCACTGACACACACACACACACACGTTCACGCACACACAACCCAGCTCCTTTATGGAAAGACACTAGACATGTCCTTTGCAGAATATTCCCAAGCGGCCAGCACCATGGAGCTTTCCAGACATACTGTCCTGTCATTTTAGGTGTACAATTGGGTGCCCAGGAATCAGAATCAGGAGAAAAATAGAGGCTGGTTGTAAGCACTCACACAGCAGCCAGGTGATGCTGAGAAAAGGCAAAGCAAATGAGAGGCAGGGACAGAAACCAGTGCAGGGTGACCGAGGGGTGTGCTGGAGGCGGTTCCTCCCAGAAAGCAAGCCCCGATTGTGGAGGTCCCTTTCCAATTCCACACATAACCACATTGGTTGGTAGCTTGAAATCAGCCATGGTGGGAGTATTTACACCACAGACATTGGCAAGCGCTGTAAGTCAGGGTTTTCTCCCTTGGGAGAGGGACTGCAAAGCACTTACTAGCACATCACTGGACAGAGGCCACAAGGGAAAAGCTGGCAGCCCTATTTGTACATTGTTTTGATTCTTCTGTAAACTAACTGAGCATTTCTTTGTGCCAGATTCTGCCCAAAGTGCCGGGGAAACACTTTGTTGAATGAATGAATGGCCATTCTGGAACAAGGCTATTTATTTTATCTAGAGGAGAAACCATTTAAAACCTCCAGGAAAAAGAGACTCAGGCGTCATCCCTCAAGCTGGATTCCATGTCCAAACAGTATGATATCATCTCCCCTGTCCTCTGGAGCTTGTCCAGCCTATCACACTCCCATATCTGAGTGTGTGACACACTGAGTGCCCCACTCTGAGGTCTCAGGGCTGCCAAGGGCCTATTACTGCTCCTGGTTGCAGGGTATCATGTCACCTCTCTGTGCCTCAGTGTCCTTTCCTTTAAAATGGGCCACACAGGGGACTGGTGAGAATCAACTCCAGGTGAGGAAGGTGGCTGACAAAGGTAGGGAGTTGTACTGGTATGAGCAGTGTTCCTGTCATCATGTGCATTTTGGAGTCATCAAGACTTTTACTGTAGTCATTCTGCGTTCCTAAGGGAGGGAGGGAGGACCTGGAGCCATTTATATTAACAGAGGATCCTACTGATTCCCTGAGACGTGGAGCTAGAAGAGGGTGGCAGCCATGCAGGCATGTACACATCGCCAGATAAGTCTTTGGGGGCCCCCTCTCCCCATGCATAAACACCCAGATACCCAAAAACACTGAAGGAGATTGCTAATCATGGGGCTCAGGACAACCTCAGCTCCCAAAAGCTACATCTGGGCAGAGACTACAGCTGGAAACGGGGGAGGTAGACCACCCCTGCCCCATTTCAATTTGGTGATGTTTATGGGTTTCAGAATAATTGGGTGGAGTAGTTCGATTTACACAGAAAGTAACTTCATTTCCTGGCTACAAGCACATGCTAAACCCTGGCCCTGATATGACCTCAATCCTCCCCCCAGATAGACCCTTATCCCTGCCCATGAACTGACCCCTAGTCCTTGGTCTCTCACTGACCTCTAATCTTCAGTTTCATCCTGACCCTTGGCCCTGATCTCTGCCCAAGAGGGATGGCCTATCAGTCACTGGGGACCAGGAAGGGTGTGACTGAGTAGGGATTGGAAACTGAAGACTCTCCAGCGTGCCCCTACACTCACAGGAACCCAGGACTTTTTGCCCAATGGAGAGGGTTGGAGGCATTAGAATTGGCATTAACCCCAGAGTCCTGGGGGGCCTGCGGTATTGCTGGATTTCAGTGCTTCACACATACCTGTTCTCTGCCCATGAGGACAAAGACCCAGACTGCCTCCTCTCTCCCAAGGGACAAAATCCTTTCGCTGGGACCCTGCCTCTTCCATCCACTCTAGGTCCTGCCCTCAGTGGGCAGAGAGGCCCCAGATACTTTTTCCAAGCCACAGATCAGGCCACCCAGGGCCCAAGGGACAGATCCAAAACCCCAAGGGCTGCTCCAGCCTGTCTCTGGAGAGCAGCCCCCGGGAAGAGGGGCTCGTGGGTGGCTGTGGAATGGCTGGCACAGGCTGTGCTGGGGCAGGGGTGAGAGAAATGGCCTTCCAGAGCCCCTCCCTGTGTTCAAATTTTCTTTCCATACATCCTGCCCCACCCGGTGGGTGCTCCTCATGGGAGCAGCCAGTTCACAAACAACCTCTGTCCCACAGAGCCCAGGGCCTGGAGCCCCTCCCCACCCTCTGCTCCCAGCCCCCCTTCACCTCCCTTACCTTCTGGGGTTCCAGGGCTGCCTTTGCTCTCAGAGGGAGTCCATGATTTAGAGTTCCCTCCCTCCGCAAGCTTGCTTCACAAACAGGCTCCACTGCCCATGGGGAAGCCCAGATCTCCCCCACCTGGACCCCCCAAGTTGGCCTCACAGAGGGAAAGCAGAGGTCCCTGGTTACACAGCCAGAACTGTGGTACCCCAGTCACCCTCATAGCTTCCTGGAGCACAGGCCCTGGGGTCCCCACTGCCAACAGGAGCTCCGCAACACGCACTCAATCCCAGGTCTCCCAGCCACCCTGTCCTCCACGGACTGGCTCCCTGGAGCGGCCCCCAGCCTTTCATCATGCCCCCACCCCCTGGCACACAGGAGTCTCTCCAACCCCCACGCTCACTAGAGCATGTGTGGGGTCCCGAGTCCCGGATGGGAACCCACAGTCGCTGCCCCAATTGCCTTCCAGAGCCCACAATCCTGCTGGTGAGAGGGGCTCGCTGACCTGTCCCCAACCTGGCCCCCAGGGTCAGGAAGTTTGCGTTGGGGTCTCAGCCCACAGCCCAGGGCGGCAAAGTCTCCACGCCCTTCTCCTCTCGGGGAGCCCTGCAACCGCCTTCCCCGTTCCCCCCTCCAGGACTCACCTCCGCCCTCCCGACAGCTGGACCTCTGTCCAGTCGCTGAGATCCCGGGCCCACGGCCGTGCCCTGCGCGGTGGCCGCAGCCCTCGACGTGCGCCCAGCCCCGCGGCCTCCGGCAGCCGCCCCGCGCCGCCCACCCCGCTCGCCGCCCCCTCCCCCCGGCCGGATGGCCGCGCGCTCCCGGCCCAGATGTGCGAGGCCGGGGCGGGGCCTGGCGGCGCGGGCCTCCGCGGAGGGGCCCGGTCTGGCCCCGCGTCCAGGGCCCCTCCCTGCGCCCCTCCTGCGTCTCGCGGCCAGGCCCCCCACCGCCGCGCCTCCCCCGCCCCGCGAGCAGCCCGGGGGTGGGGGCTGGAGGAGGGCGCGGAGGGGAGGTGGAGGGAGGCGAAGAGGCATTCCAGACCGCTCGTCGGCCTCCCGCGGCCCTGCGGCGGCTGGGCTCCCCCGCCCTAACAGGCTCCAGTTGGGGGCTCAACCTGGGCCAGCCCGTCTGCGAGCTCCCCGTCGCTGCGGGAGAGGGTGCCCTTCTAGACCCCTGCAGTGCACACCTCAGACTGCCACGTCCCTAGACCCAGGCCACCCCCGCCCTAGCCCGGTCCCCTAGGGTCAGAGAGAAGAGGCCAAATCAAGGGTGAGGGAAAAGGCAGGCACCCGGGCCCAGGCTGGGGTCTGGCTGAAGTCTGGAGCAGTGAGGGACGGGTTCTTCCATGTGGGGAGGTGGGGGGAGCTGTTCCACTCCCACAAGGGGCTCATTCAACGCATTATACCTTGTCTGGGAGCATCCAGCCCCTCACGACCTTCTCCCAGTCCTACCTTTTGGAGATGCTGGGTGGTGACCTCCTAACCTGGCTTGCAGGACAGAGACTGTGTTCTCTTCGGCCCCTCTAAAGAAGTTGACTTACTGTTCTGGTAGGGCCTGGACAAAGCCTGACAGAAAGCCTTCTCCTCTGCCCACTGTGCCCCCACAGAGCCTTAGGCTGGGCAGGGGTGGACTAGGGACTAAGGGCTGCTGCTCAGCCCAAGTTTCTTTGTACTAGGGGCCGGGCCTGTCTGCTCCCCTAGCCCTGTTCGTTCTCAGATAAGGTCCCCATAGTTCTTTGAGCACCAAGTGTCATCCTCAACCTTTGCAGGGGCTGTTTTCCCCTCCTGGAAACAGCCCCTCCTCCTCTCTGTCCAGCCAAGAGGCTCCCCAGTTTCAGTGTCACTTGCTAGGCTTATCACTTTAACAGTTAGGGTCTAACCCAGAAAGCCCCTGCAATGAGATCATGGATGGGGGCAGGGTGGGGAGGGGATGCAGCCCCAGCCGCTTGGGGAAATTGGTACCTGGCTGGGAAGCCAGCAGCGTGTCCATCAGCCCTGGACTGAGACTCCAGGGGTGTCTGTGTGTGTGTGTGTGTCCTTGTGTGTCTATGACTGTGCATATATGCATGCCTGTATCCATATGTCTTTCTCGGGACGGCTGTGTGTGTGTGTGTATTGTGTGTGTATGTTGTGTGTATGATATTACGTGAGTCCGTGGGCTGTACCTGAATGTGTGGGTAAGGGCTGAAGGCTCTGGCCCCTCCAACACCTGCCTGCCTCTTGCTTTTCTTTTTTTCCTTCCACCCCGGCTTTTCCTCCACCCCCACTCCCAGCTCCACAGATTGGCTCATCTCTGAGGACCTCAGCAGCAGGCTCTGAGTGGGAGTGAAGACTCAAGGGTGGGGGGCCTCCAGTCCTTGGCACCTGCTGCTAGTTCCCCCCCTTTCAGTTCTCCTCAGCCTGACCCCACCCCTGGGCAGCGTCCAGTCTGATTCAAAGAGGGGGGCGGTGACTAATTCCAGTGACTCCTCCGTCCTCATTAGAGGAAGCTTGATTCAGTTGCCATGAGAAGGTTGAGGCCCAGGTAGACACGGAGGGTCCTGAAGACCCCCTGACCTTCATGTCCCCCTGTGCCCTGACGCCTCCCTCCCTCCCTCCACTCCCACAGCCCAGGGCCCACCCACTGACCTCACCGGCTTCCTGCTTCTGCCTGGCGGGGAAGCAGGAGGAAGGGCCAGGCTTTGAGCATGTCCTCTCTGGGGCAGCCTCTCTCCAGGCCAGGCTTCCCTCTCTGGCCTTTGCTCAGATCGTCTCCCATGGATGCCCTGCTCCCAGCCCCACCCTCCATCTCATCTTGCAACTGGAGGAGCCTCTAAAGTGCAAGCCTGGGCCCGCTCCTACACCCTTACCACGACGCCCCTCCTCATGCCCCCCATTGCCCACAGGGCAGATCCGATGGCCCAGGTTTGGACTGCCCTTGGCCGGCCCCCCAAGCTCTCCTTGCAGCCCGGGCTCTGACCCTGCAGTCTGACATGCCCTTCCTGCACAACCTGCTTCTGCAACGTCTTTCTCTCCCTTGGGTGCTCAGGGAGAAGCTGGACCCTTGGACCCTGTTGTGGGTGCTGTGTCTGCTCGGAGAGCCCTGGACCCTGGTCACCACCAGGCGGGCTTTCAGGAAGACTGGGGTTAGAAGGAAGGCTCACAGCTCCCCTTCGGAGACGCCCAATATGACTGAGTATCAGGCAGTTTTAGGGCTGAGGATGACCCTTGTCTTCAGGGGGTGTCTCTGCTCCACCTAAGCCTGCGTGTGTCGGGGTGGGGGGACGTGGAAAGAGGCTTGTTCACCTGCAGACCTTGCTGAGCATTTCATGGTGTGCTGGTGCCTACCAGGTCCCTACCTTGCCACCTTCCCCACCACCAAGCCTTGGTGGGAGGCCTCTCCACCTTCACCCTCAGATGGCAAAGTTGAGCCTTGGAGCAGGGCACTGTCTAGCTCAGGCTGGCCGCCCTCAGCGCCTCTGCTCTTGCTTGCACCACCTGTTACAAGAGGCTGGTGAAGGGAGGATGGAAACTGGGTGCCCAGAAGTGGCCTCCCTGGATGCTTGTCCATCCCTTCCTGGAGACAGGAGGTGGGTGGCTCCTGGGACAGAGGCCCCTAGAATGTTCCTCTTCCAGATTCCTGAGGTTCCAGCTTCCTTCCAGGAACTACTCTGCCTGCCCCGCCCCGCTGAACTTCCTCTCTGTGGACCACTGCCTCAGTCCGCATCATTTTCCTCACCGGGGATAGGCATGTGGGAAGCCAGTCCATGGCCAGGAGTTCAAGACTCAGCCTTTGGTGCCCTGCCCTGCTCTTTCATGGCAGCAGGTGCTTCTCCTTCATTAAAAAGAAGCACCCTGTTGCCACAGGAGCTTTGTTGCCGCTTAGCAGTGGGACCATGATGAGGGGCACAGCAGTCGTGGAGCAGGTTTGCAAGGCAAGACTCTGCTACTTGAGCAGAAGTTCTTGTGCCATTTATTGAAAGCACACAGGCTAATAAAAGCCAATCATGCGACAATGGTATGAGGAATAAAGTCCGGAGCGGGGGATTGGAATGGGGGACAAAGTTTTACGAGGGACAGGGAAGGGGACATCGTGACCATATGTCAAGAGACATTTGCGTCAGCAAAGTATATGATGTTATCAAGGCAGTGTTATCCCGAGACCGCCATGGAGACAGTCACGTCATCAGGTCAACGGCGGCCTAAGCATTCCCAGGCCTGCCTTGGGATACCGGCTCTACTGTAGGCAGTCCAGGAACGCTCTGCTGTGATTTGCAGATAGCAAATAGGTCACAGTTGCCCATGAGTGGCCAGCTAGTAGCCAGCTCATAGGAACCCACAGCACCCCACCTTCCTGCTGAGCCTCCTCACACCCCCAGCCCAAAGGACACCCAAGGCCCCAGAATCAGCCGTATCTGCCAGCGCTGTGAGCTGACACTGCCCCACTTGCAGGCCCTGCTCCAGTATGATGTGATGAGGGTTCCCAGCAGGAATGTGGGAATGCCTCCTTGGAGGAGGTAGCCCTTGGTCTTAGCCCTGACGGATGACAAGGTGGAGAATGAACAGGGCATTCCAGGAGGACACAGTGCAGATGACAGCTCGGAGGCTGGAGTGAGCAGAAGGTGGATGGAATCAACAAACTCAAAGTAGCCCACTGATGGCGGGTAGGGCTGTTTGTCCTTAGGGCTTCCAAGGACAGATCTACCCTGTGTGCTGCCCCAGCTGGCATCTTTGCGCATCCTTGGAACTCCTCTGCCTGCTTGTTCCACCTGGGTATCCTCTGTTTGGGGTCTCTGGTCTCTATCCAGACCACCAGGAGTTCCGTTTCATTGCTTAATTCCCTCTCGGCTCACCCCTTCAATTAGCTTGGGAGATGCCTTTCCTTGCTAGTCCTTGCCCCCCAGAACTGCCCCTCTCCTGGGATGTGGAGCCTCAGGAAAGAACCAAGATCCTAAGGGAAACAGAAATGGTGGGAGCAGCCATGTGAAGCTGAAGGAGTTTGTGGAGCTGAGATGTAGACAATTTTGGCTGCCCCCCACCCCCAGTATCTATTCTCTTTATCTTAATACTAGATTCCTCTCTTTTTAGCCATGTGCATGGTCATTCAGCATAAAGACTAGATTTCTCAGCCTTCCTTGCTGCTGGGTGTGGCTATGCAACGAAGGACGGTCTAATGGTATGTGAGGAAGTGTTATATGGCACCTGCTAGCTTTTAGACACTGCTGGTGGGTGATGACTATTCCTTGTTCCTCATTTTGCCTTTTTTCACCTGTCACCTGGAAAGTTGATGAAATGGCTGGAACTCTAATCCCCATTTTGGGCCATAAGGTTGAGGGACACATTCCAGTGACAGCAGAAGAGTGACCTGCCAGGAGATCGGCACCTGAACAGTATCCTGTGCCAGCCAGGGGTTGTGCACTTCCAGACTTTTCAATGCAAAAGAAAGAAACTATTATAGAGGAGACAGTGCTTTCAGTTTCTGCTACTCAAAACAGAATGTAATCCTAGCTGATTTGACCCCAAGGAGAAATGTTGACTAGGCAGTTGGTATATGGATTTGGAGCTTGGAGCAGAATTTGGGGTTGCGGGTAGAAGCTTGGCAGTCATCCTCGGGGAGATGGTAATTGAAGCCACAAGAGCAGATGAGATCACCAGGAAGAGTGTGAGAGGGATGGGCAGCAGCAGCCCACCCCGCCCGCTGATGGATCCTGGCTTTACTGCTCAGTTTCGCCTACACCTTTCCAATATGCATGAGGGTTTCCTCCC